CTCCTCCATGGCAACCATGACTCGGCCCCTGTCTCCATGGAGTTACCTACTGGCATTTCATATAAATGGGCTCAGATGGCGGGTGGGCTTTTGTGTGTGGCTGCTCTCAGCACACTGCTGCCAAGATTTAGCCATGTGGCAGCAGGGCTCGGCGTGTGATTGGTTTTCGCGGTTGGGTACTATTGTGGTCTCTGTATGGACACCATGCTCTGTTTACCTATTCCTCGGCTGAGGCGCAGGACAGTCATTTCCCCTTTCTCACCAGTGGGAGCGCTGTTGTGAACGCTCGAACCAGTTCCTGGGACACACGCCTAGGAGCGACGGCACTGGGCTGCGAGGCGACTCACCAGGATGCTGCTTTCCAGAGGCTGCCCCGTGGTGGTACAGTCTCATCGGCAACAGGGGAGGGGCCCAATTGCTCCACAGCTTCACCAACGCCTTTCATTTCCCCTTAAGATCAATCTACCACGTAACCACGTAAAGTGAAACACGCATGGTAAAGGAAGCCAAGCCGCTGGGTGGGGGAGCCCCAGAAAGTGACTTCCTCTCCTCAGGGCCTAACCCTCTCAGATGGATATCGGGGGTGGGGGGTGGGGGTGGGGAAATAACAGTTTAAGATTGAGTGTGTTAAAAACCCAAAATGTAACAGTCACCGCCCTTACAGTAAAAATTCCTTTTAAGCTTACTCAGCAGGGATGTCCCAAGTTGGGAAGGAGGCCAGCTAGGCTGGGAAGACAGATGTAAAGTATCACTCCAATTTAGATAGAGCAGGGTGCATGAAACAGGGTGCATGAAACTGCAGCCACCGATAAACTGCCTAGTGATCACGGTAGAACCTGCCACCCGTGATGATGTGGAAACCTGCTGATCTCCTGTAGTCATGGTGAAAAATCGGTTCTTAGTGAATTACCTTGCAGGGTCAGGACTAGACTCCTAAACAGCTCCGAGGAGAAACCTGCGCTCCTTCTGCAAGCGTTTGCCCAAACAAGCTTAGAGTTTCTCGGAACCACCTGGTCTGTTTTGGGCTACGATGACAGGCTTTCCCGGACCCCTTGCAGCCCATGTGGATGATGACAGTAATGTCTTGGGGTCATTCACCCCAAAACATATACTGAAGCCCTAACCCTTGAACCTGGACATGTGACCCAGTTGAGAATGGGTCTCTCTTTCTGTTAAGGTAATAATATCCTATCTGCGCCAGGTGGTTCCTGGCCCGATCAGGGCTCAGTTATTAAAAGGAGCAAACACATGCAGGCGCACGCGGGGGAAAGACAGATTTCTAGAGGTCCTGGGGCTCCTACGAGGGAGGACGCCCCCCTAAAGCCGTGTCCTAAATTCAGCCTTCTTAACTGTGAGAAATTGAATTTCTGTTCTTGAAAGCCGCCTGCTTGAGACATTTCTGCAGCCCTAGCTAACGGCAGCAGGTGCCTTCCTCGGCTGGCTGCCGGCAGGGCTCTGGGATCATTCACATCAGCTCTCCATCCGCAGCAGCGCCTGGTTCCTTTCTTTTTGGCTCTGTGCTAGGACTGGAGGAGAGGATGCCACTTTCTGGGGCTCACCTGTCCCAGCAGCTTTTGTCTTTCGACTTGAAATAGAAGAGTCGTAGCGTTCTTGTGGGGGGAAGCAAAGGTGTTGATGAGAACATGCCAGGCGCTTTGTCAGCTCAGCAGGCATCGTCCCCGAACTAAGGGTCAGGGCAGAGCATCTCCTCACGATGAACTCTTGAGATGAGAGGATACATAGATGTTCAAGGGATATCATTTGCCAGCAGTTCTTTTATTTATTTATTTTGCCAACTGATGCCTGATACCCGATCCCTTTTTATAGCGAATTTCTTTTCTTTTTTGTTGCTGCTGCTGGGAATAGACACTGCAGAATGGACACCACGTCAATGGCTTCACCATGTCCAACGACAGTGCTCAAGTAGCACAACCATGCCCACCCTGTCTGATTATGGGCCAACTATCTTCCCTGACGCATTAGTCATGATTCGGCCTTCAGCTGCAGCAGAGCCATGCTCTGACACGATGACACTCAGAGACCACACGGGGTAGGCTGGCCCCTGTCCTGGTCCAGCGGCATAGCGAAGCTACAGCCTGCAAAAGCGGTTGAGTTCTAGAGAAGTCTATGTACCGGGTTGAACATTGTTGTTGTTGTCGTTGTTAGGTCCCATCGAGTTGGCTCCCACCCATGGCAGCCCCGTGCGCCAGCCCCCCAGTGGTCCCCGTGCCCTGTGTCAGTTGTCTCCTTGAGGCCCTTCCTCTGTTGCGCTGCCCTCCATTTCCCCAAACACGATGTCCTTCTCCTCCGATTCCAGGTTCTGGCCGCTCCCGACAATGTGCCCAAAGTCTGGATGCTGCAGTCTTGCCGTCTTTGCCTGTAAAGAGCGCTCTGGCCTTACTTTTTCCAACACAGATTGGTTCGTCCTTTTGGCGGTCCATGGGACTGTCAATGTTCTTCAGCAGCACCGCGATTCAAACACATCGATGCTTCTTCTGCCTGCCTTATGCAATGTCCAACTTTCACATGCATACGAGGCGATGGGGACACCATGGCTTGGGTCCAGGGCACTCTGGTCCTCGAAGCACCAGCCTTGCTTTTCCATACTCTGAAAAGGCCTGTGCCGCAGATGGACCTAGTGCACTGCGGTGAACAAGAGAGAGTCCAAAGAGCTCTGTCCAAGCCCTAACCCCTACCATCGACGAATCTGACCGTCTTTACAAACAAGTCTGTGCAGAAGTCATTAACTGAAGGGGAGGGCATACTGGATCAGGGTGGGCTCTGACCTTATCCACTGAGGAGGTTTGGAAGGACCAAGAGATTTGGAAACAGGCAGAAAGGAGACATGGGGAAGACGGTCAGGGGACGATGAAAGCCAGGATGGGAGTGATACAGCCACAAAACTAGTAACCGTCAGACATCAGGAAGAAGCAAAGAAGGATTCCTTCCTGGAGTCCGCAGAGCATCGCTCTGTCAACATCACAGACTTGGACTTCTGGCCAAATGCAACAGAATCTATGTGAACTGGGACAGCATGTATTTCTTCTGCTTTTAGCCACCTGGTTCGTGGCAATTTTCTATGGCAGTCCTGGGGCACTAATAGACCACATGGCACTTTTAGTGAAAATTGGGCCTTGATGCCCAGTTGAGATGTCAGACAAGGCTCACTTTAGTCTAAGGACTAATGGCGGCTCTACAGACTCTGTACCTTCTAAGTTATTGCAAGGTTCTTCTTTTATCTGCCTGTGTGTGGTCATCTCCTTCCTACCCTCTTACCATCCAGCACTGTGCTGGTTCTGTGACTGAAGTGAAGCTTCGCTACCACTGGGCCACACACAGACCCAGGCACAGCAGGAAGCACAAGCGTGGGGGAGGTCAGACCCATGCCCCATGCCGACCCTGCTGCCTCTAGCCAGAGTCTCACAAATACGGCAGGCCTGTGAGGAGGTGGGTCAGGGCACACGAGACACGGGGCTGGAAAAACGGCTTAGTGCATATGCTTGCTTCTCAGACACAAGCCAATGAGCCCTAATCCCAAACGCCTTAAAACAACAATGGTGAAAAGGCTTGGAAAGTATACAAAAATGGATAATATCTGTGGTAGTTACATATGCTCATGTCAACTTGAAGGAATCAGCAGTGAAGGGATGGAGTCTAGCCCATTAATCAGGTCACAGCTTGATGCCTCCTTCTCATGAGGATTGTGGGAACTTCCTCCCTCTCTGCTTCGCTTTGCTGTTGAGGAGCCACACTCAGAGAGCTGGAGGAGCCACGTGGAGACCCGTGCCAGTGCTGGCATGCTGTCACTGCCACTGGACCCACAAGACGTTGCACCCACAGGCCTGTGATCTTCCTGCATTTTGCTTCATTGCATGTGCTGTGTGAGTCTGAAGAGGAATTCATGGGCTAATTTTGGACTTGTGAGCTAACATCAGACTTATGGACTCGATGTGAACTGGGCTGAGATGTTTTCTTAATATACAATTACTCTTTGATATAAAGCTCTTTCTTATACATATATTAGTGTCTCTGGATTTATTTCTCTAGTCAGCTCAGACTAACACAATATCTAAGCTGATATTGAATGGTGTTAGTAGAGTCAATTAAGAAAAATGATCTACTCCTGTGGTATAGGTATCCCACAGTTGGCCACTTCTCTTTAAAACATGTGGCACGATGGCAATTAGTTACTTGTTAAACACCTTCCCTTCCAGTGGGCAGGGGCTGAGGCCTTGCCCCCACAGGGAGGCATCCTCAGGGCCTGCCGCAGGTCTGGCCTACAGCAGGTGTGCAATGAGTGTTGCCAGGTGGCTCTTGAAGACAGAGAGGGGGAGCAGGCAGGCTCATTGCCTGCTCCGAGGACTCCCATGTCCTCATGGGCTGGGCCGGGCACAGGGCACACTCACTATCAAAGACGATGATCCTGCCATCGCCACCGCAGGGCTGCGTGTGATCCCCGAAGCAGACGCTGTTGCACTCGGTACTGGCGGCCTCCCCATACTTCCAGTAGTCAGGGTTGTTTCCACAGAAGCAAGCATAGCCAGACTCCATCCCTGCGAACTGTGTCCAGAGAAGCAGCACATGGTCAGCATCAGCCAGGGGTGTTGGGTGGCCTGAAGGAGCCTGCCAGGTTAGTCCCCAGCAAGCAGCCAGCTTCATTTTCCCAGGATACCCTTCCTCTGGCTGCCCCCTCTTACCACACTCCATTCCGAGCTGACTATCAACTAAGCCCTTGCAAACAGCTCCCACACACTGAGCTCGCTCTGATTCCCACTGTACCTACTACGTTCTCAAGGAGGGGGTGCCCCATAAACATTAGTTATAATGAAAAACACTACTGACGTTGTTTATCTGTCAGGTAGCGACATCTAATCTCCACAGCCAACTTACAAGAATTGTGTTGTGATTGTGATTGTTGTTAATCTACACAGGATACACACCAACCCAACAACCTTTACAGCTACAAATCAATGACAGTCGAAGTCTTCCAGCTGCATACCCCTTCTCAGCCTCCTTTGACAAGCTGTCCTTCCATTACCAAAACCAGGAACAAGGAGCCTTTGTTCCGCCCCGGGGCCATTTGGAAATGGATATCATCATTCTTGGGTCATACGGGTCAAACATTTAATGACCGCATCCCTAATGTGATGGCTGGAGCTGCTTCTCTGTGATGCGGTGTACGATGCTGGCTAGTAGGGGTGATTTTGTGGGCGGGGCCGTGCATTCCCTACCCCTGCATTGTAAACCCAGTGTAAGCCCCTAAACTCACGGCCATTGAGTTGACTCTGATCCTGTGGGTTTCCCTAGAGTAGAAAACTTCATCTTTCTCCTGCAGGGTGGTTGCGACCCGTTACAGCAGGTTCCTAGCTAATCTTGTAAGTTGTTATTGTTCAACTTGACCCTCCCTTAAAAGAGTAGCATGCATTCTTCACCAGTTAAGCAGGGTCATTATTTGAAATTAAGAAGATCACAAGGGCTCTTTTGGCTTAAGGTTTAATGATGATCTCTGGGCAATCCTTTCAGAGGTTCATCCCGCCTCCATGGATCCAGAAGTCTGAATTCCATGAGCATTTGAAGTTCCTCGTGGCACACTTGTAGGTCCCATTTAAAAGCTTGGTTTTCATGTAGTATCCCCTACAGCAAAATACTTTCAGTGTACACAGCTCGGCAATTTTAACGCACGAACGAACCAAACACAACCCACCGCTCTGGAGTCAATTCTGACTCACAGCAAACCTACATATGGGGTTTCCAAGGCTGTACATCTTTAGAGGAGGGGGGAGCCTCATCTCTCTGTCCGGAGCAGCTGGCGTGTTTGAACTGACCATCTTGTGGTCCGCAGCCCAATGCCTAGCCCACAGCATCACCCTTTGTGCCCAGGATCCAGAACAGTTCCACCTTTCCTTAAAACGCATGACTCTGAGCATGCCCTTCCTGGAATGGGCAGCCACGGGTGAGTTTTCCAGGGCTCAGGCTTTGCCTCTTTGAAGATGTCAGGTGACAGGAAGCACACGGGAGGAAGCCCTTTGAGACTGGCTTTCGCTTGGTATCATGTCTCTGAGATCCATCTAAATTGGCACGTCTATCAATAGGTGGAGGAGAGCTGGTGGTGGAGCGGGTTACATGTTGAGCTGCTACCATAAGGTTGGCAGTTCAAACCCACCAGCTGCTCTGCTGGGAGAAAGATGACGCTTTCTTTTCTCGTAAAGTCTTATGGGAACCCACAGAGGCAGTTCTACTCTGAGTCAGAATCCTCTCGATGGCATTATTATTGTTGTTGTTTTTTCTTCAGCAGTTGGTTCCTTTTTCTGGTTGAGTGGCATTCCACTGGATGATGGACCACCACGGAAGACCGTCTTGGTTGTTCCCAGTTTCTCAGGATTATAAATAGAGCCGCTAGAGATCGCTGTGCTCATTTATGTTTTCTTTCATTAAATTCCTAGGAATGGGATTGCTGGTCATGTGGTGAGTCTATGTCTAACTTCTTGGTTCCGGGAGACTGCCATGTTGTTTTCCAGTTACTCTACCGCCCCACCCCCACCCCACAGCACCACATGTGCGTTTCGGTTGCTCCGTGTCCTCGTCAGCACTTGATGTCGGCAGCATGCTTCCTGCTGGCCATGTTTATAGCTATGATTAGTATCTCATGGCTCTAATGTACAATTCCTTAATGGCTAATCATGCCGAATATTGTTCTATATGCCTGTTGGTCACTCATAGATCTTTTTTGGCGAAGAACTTAGCCCAGTTTGTTTGGTTTCCCCCCCAGCCGTTTTGAAGTTGGCTGGTTTGCTTTATTCCCACTGCATTTTCCGTTCTCCCGACACATTCTGGGGAAAGGCCTCTGCTGCAGATGTAATTTGCGGATGTTTCCCCACAGTGTTTCTTCTTAGTCTCTTTATGGTGTTTTTCTTGGAGCAAAGGTTTGAATTCTGAGGTCTAAATTAACATTCTGTTTTTCTTTTTTCTATAGAGGATCCTTCTGGTGTTGTGTCTAGAGACTCTTGGCCGAAGCCCATGATAAAGATTTTTGTCTATGTTTTCTTCAAGCAGTGTTACAGCTTTACATTTGGATCTGATTCATTGTGCGTTTGGTATATAGCCATTTATGTTTAACTCCTTTCATTCAGCATAATGCCTTTTGGAATCATCCAGGCTGCTGTATGCATCAACATGTCTTAAGATGTCCTTTCGCTGTGCTGCTGCTGAGTAACATTGTATCGTATGGATATGTCCTATTTCACTTATCCATTCATCGGTTAATGGACATCTGCATTATTCTTTTTTATTTTTTACTTATTTATTTTTTTTGCGTTATTCTTATTTAGGGGCTACTCTGAGGAATGCTGCTACCTGCATCTATAATTCTTTGTGCAAACATAAGTTTTCATTTCTCTAGGAATAGGATTGCTGTGTTGTTGGGTGCCACTAAGTTGGTTCAAACTCGCGTCTACTTGTACATTTAACTCTATAAGAAACTGCAAGACCTTTTTCAAAGAGGCCGTTTTACATTCCCGTCACTAGTCCATACAGTCCTGGGTGGGGCAAGTGCCTACGTGTTCTGCTGCCAACTGAGAGGTGAGCAGTTCAAATCCACTCTGGAGGAAAAGGAGGAAAAACCCTCAGGAGCCGAGTTCTAGTCTAACACGTGCAGGGTCACCAGCAGTTGTGACCAATTGGACGGCAACTAATTCTTATATCTCAGAAGAGGTGTGCTCACAGCATACCCTACACTCATCCGGTCTCATTAGTGTAATAAAGACAACCCATTCCTAAATGGGAGTCTAACCACAGGCACAGAGGTTAAGATCTGCAACACTGTTTACGAGGGAAAATGATTCTATTCATAACAGCTGCTGATGCTGGGTCTCTTTCCGCGTCTTTATAGGCACCCATATGCCAGAAACCAGCACCCAACTCACTGACATCAAGTGGATCCTGACTCGCAGGGTTTCCAAGGCTTTTATAAACCTGTATGGGAGCAGTCAGTCTCCTCTTTCTTCAGAGGATCTAACCCCATTGGTTAGAATCAACTCAATGGCAATGGCAATGGGGTGGGCATGTGCCAATAAAACTTTATTTATAAAATAGGTGGATAGTGGATTGGGCCTGTGAGCCATTGTTGCTGACCCTGGTCTACATGACTATTCTTACTATCAATAGTATTCTTTTGATTACTGTCGCTATATAAAGGCACGGTAAAACCAAGCTTGATATTCTTTCTCAAAATTATTTTTCCTATTGTAGGCTCAGTTTGTCCATTTATTTTAAAAGTCTGCTATGATATATAGATATATACACACACATACATTTTTTTCTGCTATGATTTTGACTGAGACTGCATTGGCTTTCTCCATCAATTTGGGGGGAGTTGGCATCATAACAACATTTAGTCGCCCAGTTTGTAAACAAGGTCTAGGTCTCCGTTTACTTAGGCCTTACTTCCTTTCCCTTTGCAAGATCTTAGAGCTTTCTGTGTATAAGTGTTTAACCTCTTTTGTTAATTTTATTCTTAAGATGTTTGATGTCATTATAAATAAGAGGTTCAACAATTGCATTTTGTAATATTTCACTACTAGCACAATTGGTTAGCCACTGGATGACTGACTGAGAGGCTGGAGGCCAACCTCATGCATAACATGAGGAAAAGACCTCGTGCCCGGCTTCTGAAGAACAACACCCTGGAACTCGAGCAGCAGCTCTTCTCTGCGCGTGTGTGGCCATCGGGAGTTGGAATCACCCCAGAAACTAGGAGGATGTGGAAAAGATCTGCAGCACTGCTAATGCTGCTTGGTAGTTCTGGTAGCTTCTTTGTGGATTCCTTAGCGTTTTCTTCCTACAAGTACGGTTGTGTTTTGGGTGTCAAAACTAAAAAAACATTGCCTAACTGGAGAGATTTATACCCATGTTTTCTTCTAAAATTTTATAGTCCCACTTTTATAGTTTAAGTCTCTGACCCATTTTGAGTTAATATTTGTATATGTGAATAACCTTGTCTGTAGTATGAGGTAAGGCAAATAAAATTCCTCCTCTTCCTTTCCAACCTATATGCCGTTTCCTCCCTTTTCTTGTCTTGTTTCATCGGAGAACTCCAGTACAAAGTTGAATCGCAATGGTGAGACCGGGCATCCTATCCCTTCTTGATCTCAGGACGAGGGCACCTGAGCCCATCGCTGGTGCGTATGTTCACTGTAGCTTTTTCACAGATGCTTTTAATCTGGCTGAGGAAGTTTCTTCCCAACTCTAATGGCCTCAGGACTGAGATCATGAATGAGTATTGTATGTCCTCAAATATTTTTTCGGCATTTTTATTTGGGAAAATATCAAACATACAGGAAAGTTAAGTTGCAAGAATGGTGTACAAATGACCTTTCCCTGGAGGCCTCATTCAAGCTGGCAACTGTCTTAATAAAGCCCTTTGTAGAAAAGGGACCCACACCAGGCTGGTACCAAACCAAGCTCACTGCCACTGAGTCCATGCTGACTCACAGTGACCCCTTGTGGGTTTCCACGAGAACTGTCTACTGGAGTAGAAAGCTGAGTTTTTCTCCCTCGGAGCTGCTGGCGGTTTCAAACTGCTGACCAGACAAGCGGGAATCAAAGGCAACTATCAAGAGCTACTGCTGAGCCAGTGAGGTGCCTGCTCATACCATACACAGACACAAGGCAGATGGGGGCGTAGATGCTGGGAATTTCCTCTCCCTGCTCTGTCTTCCAGGAGCCCTGGTGGCATAGCGGTTAATGCGTTGAGCTGTTAACTTCAAGGTCAGCCGTTTGAACTCACCAGCGGCATCTCGGGAGAAAGATGAACCATGCTTCTTACTCCTGTACAAAAGCGCAGCTTCGGAAATCCACCAGGACAGTTCTACTTTCTCCTATGAGGTCGCTGTGAGTTGGCATTTTCCTGAGGTCAGTTTGGGTCTGGCTTGAGGTTTGCTTCTTTAGACGATGCTGCCTCTCACTCTGGAATACCAAGCCCCACTCTTTCTCCAATTTCTCCTTGGCAGAAACTAAATGTAGCATCAGATGGCCCGACAAATTGTTGCTGCTCCATCTACCTAGTTCCACGCTATCTCAGCAGGACGCCAAACCCAAAGCCAAACTCGCTGCCATGGAGTCAGTTCTGACTCATCGTGGCCCAAATGGCTTGGGACAGAATGACCCTGGGGTTTCGGAGACTGTCACTCGTTGCAGGAGTAGAAAGCCTCGTCTTGGAGCAGCTGGTGGTTCCAAACTGCTGAGCTTGGGTAAGCCGTCCGCCACCAGGACTCCTCAGCAGAACACACTGCTGTGTTTACCTGGCTCTGGAGTTAACTGATAGCCCCAAGGAGGCGTACCGTGAAGCGCTGGCTCCGGCAAAAGCTGATGCAGGTTTGAATGGTGAGCTTGTTGGATGTCTTGCTGCTCCCAGTCAGAGGCGGTGGGTTTCCATGATCCTTGTAGCAGCCAAGGTTTCCAGGCACTGGAGGGGGGAAAAAGAACAACAAAAGAATTTCACAACACCTGGCTGCGAAACACGGAGAGGGATCAAGTTCTTTGTGCCAGGGACTCCCGTCCCAGCCAGTGTTTCCACTCCTGAGGAACAAATAACAAGCCACCGGCTCCACAAATGGACGCCCACTAGCCTTCTGGCAGATGCGAAGTTTGTTGCTTCTTTCTGAAGAGTAGGTGAGACGCAGGTCCACCTTTCATCAACTCCAAGTCATTCTGTAAGTGTTCGGTACGGATAGGATCTCCCACAGAAGGGCAATAGGAGCAACTCCAAAACCTCTCCACGCGAGAGGAGCTACAATGTGCTGGGAAGTCCCGCTCTGGGATTGCTCTGGTGGCGGGATGTGTTTGTGGCCTTCCCGTGAGTGTCTCAACATTCTACTGCTCAGTGCGGGAGTGGATTACTGGAGGGTTTGATTAGTTTGGACTATTGATAAACGCAAAGATGATGATCAGAAACATAACCCCCCCACTGACGTTACGATAAAAAAA